GTGCAATCTCTTATAGCGTGTACTGTAGTTTCGGCAGGATGATCACACCTAGAATGCTTTCGGGATAATGGTATGTGACGGATTTTGAGGAAGTGCATGGTTTTCATGCAATTATGACATACTAACCACATAAAGAAACATATATTTGTGATCCTGATAAGTGCCAAATCCAACTCGACATCTGTTCTGTACAAACCTCATTTGAATCATTTAAATGATCTTTCAAATAATAAATGTGGGGTAAGGAACGAACACAATGTAGGAGAGAAGCTGAATTAGGATTGCATATGCTAGCTTCTCAAGCTTCCAATTCGGGGTGGGCAAACGGTTCGGTAAACCTGAACCGAACCGAATTAAACCGAACCAAAACCGAATTAATGTTATTCGGTTCGGAATTCGGAAGGAAAATATGGATAGTTTGGGAATCAGGGTTCTTTCAACCGAACCGAATTTCTGAATTTCCGACCGAAAAATCGAAATACTATAATTGCAAGCTCCAAATGGTGGATTTTTATGTTTGTAGTTGTTTTTAGACTTAAATATATAAAATGTTTTATGACTTATCTGTTGAAAAGTTTGATTTTATCATTGATGATGCATATAATTGATATTTATTGTTTATATTAGGGATGAAAATTAATTTAAAAGTGAGAAATACAAGTAGGATACTCCATTTGGGTTTGTCTTTTGCGTATCTGGGCATCGCTCACACCATTAGGATACTCCATTTCACATGCGAGTATGCTTTTCATTGACAAGGATGTAAATTCCACTGAATTGCGTTTAATGTTTATACATTTTTTATTTATTTAAAGGATCTTTGATGCATTCTTATTCTTTTATAGGGTGTTGATATCGAGGCAATAGTTCGTCACCCCCATGTTTCGCATTTCCTTCGACGTCGCTATGAAGGTTGGATTTATATCCTCTCCCATTTTGTTGTGGAGAAGCATCTTTGCAGTCACCGTGTTGTCCCCAGTGATCTGCGACTATGTTTTATAGCCAATACCAGTGTTGAAAGATTGAATGATGAAGCTTATGATATCCCAGAGCCGAGCTTCCGTTTTTTGTCACTTGACAACTTTCGAATGGCATTTCGCAATCGGCATCTTCTTCCGGGTATTTATTATTTACTTTAACCAATAAACATCAATTTCTTTTCACTTCATAATTGAGGTCTTAAATATTTGAGGTCTCTATAGATTTGGTCGGTAGAGTAGTAGCATGCCACCCCACGAATGTTGTATTTCTAGGACTGCCACTTAGGAGCAAAAAGATACGCCTTCAATTGTTAGAGTACGTTTTCTTTTGGATCAATAATATTGTGCATCTTGGTCCGTACATGCACTAATTCTTACTTTCAATTAACAGCTAGGGGTTGTGTTGTCACTGTCTTCTTTTGGGATAACATGATCAATTAATTTGAGAACTTGCTTCCCGCTGCTGGTGTGTTTGGGCAAGTTTTGTCACTCACCTCACTCCTTATTCAGCATGACGAAGGTACAAATTATTGAATTTATAAATAAAACTGTTCGTATTAAATTTTTTGGCCAATATAATTTTTTTCATGCCCAACTTGAATCAAATTTTGGTTTGTATATTTAGAAAATTGTCGTACACACCATCATTCATTTCCCCCAAAATGCTACGACCCATTTATTCTTTTAAAAATAATAAATGTCGATTCCTTTTCCCTTTCCATGCTTTGAGATCATAATTTCCTGCTTCATTTTAATAATTTTATTATTTCAATTTCTGTTATGCAAATTTGAACATTTGTTACATTATTTGATAGGAGAGTATGTGTTTACTGCGTCTCCAGCTACAAAGATATATGTTGATCTTAATTGTCCTCAGATTCATCGCCTCTTAGACCGGTAAGTTCAATTATGTACTAATTTAACCATTTCAGCATTCCAATTGTCCTTTCTTACACATTAACTTTCTATTCTTTCTTTTATTCGACAGCCATGTTAACAAGAATTATTTCATCACCCATCTCACATATCCCCAAGCTAGAGAATTTAGTGACAGCTGTTATGCGATAGACCTTCTTGAACTTCAACGGGACATCAACAACATGGTAATAAACTCTTCTAACACTAACCATACTTTTAATACCTATGATTTCTATCAATATCATAATTTACTTACGTTTTTCACTTACAATATTCTACATTAACCCACCTTAGGAACAAGTCTATCTTTATGTTGGAGATGTGGCCGAGATGGTGACTTCACAGTGTCATGCTACAAACTCAATTGTCATATTTACCTCACGACATCTTAGGCGATCTGCTTCAGCTGTCCTCCCATCCGATGATCTGTTGCATGCGGATTTCAACACTATTCTCCACTCTCTGGAAGGTCGGCGTTATGAATTGTTGGTCAAAGTTGGACCATGGAACCCTGTTCTTTAGTATTGTGATATGGTGTTGCTTAAATTATTCCCAGCGGTTAATCAGTAGTAATGGAGTATCGTGTTTTTCATTCCTTCTTTATCTTTTGGACTTTTGGACTTATTGTTCATCCCTACATACTCAAGACCAGTACTATGCATCCACTTTCTTAATTTATGGTTATTCTATTACCTTGACTTTTTATTTCTCATTTCCTTGACTTATCCAATTTAGTTTGGAAGCACAAAATTAAATTATCCAGAAAAGAAATGCTGCAATTAGTTTCTGGCAGCCACACCCACTTCTGACTATGGTGTCTGGAGCTCGGAATTTCAACCGGAATCATATTTTTTCATCTGTTCCATTTGTTTTGGGTTGGGGCAGAGCAGCCCATGTATACTCTCATCAACCCAACATAATGCAGGAGTGAAGCACATTTCCTTTTTTTAATTTCTTTAGCCAATAATATGAAAATGAACCTCTCTAATCATTTCAATATAAGTTATATCAGTAAAGAAACATCGATCTAGGCCAACTTGCGTGCACTGATAATTTATCTGATCAGCCACGTCACAGATATGAGTATCGAGATAGCCGACTAGATAGCCGACTGAATGTAGTCAAAACACATTCCTAATGGTGTCGGAAGAGACCCAATCCTATAAGTGAAGTATGTTGCAAAGTTCCATCATTTGTTATGTTTGTCATGATTTTTAATATTTTAAATGACCAATTGGACCATGGTTTCATATACACAATTAATAAGTAAATTATGCCAACTCATATTACCATTTAAAAATTCAAAACTAATTGTTTAATATCTGATATGGAATCAAACATCAGTGTAATCAAAGCTGGTAGGCTTCAATTCTTCCCAGGCAGTACCATTTAAATAACCCACAGTAGTTTTTGATGACCAACCCCAATGGGCCTCGCTTTTCAAAGACCAAATCTCTACATTTTATTCAAATAAGAAAACCCAAAAACAACATGGGGCTCGATCTACAAGCCATTATTTTACAAACGGGCCACTTTTGTCTACAATTTACGGCCAACCCACTATCCAATGTAGAAGCCTATCAAATACATGTACAACTACCAACAAATATTCTTGGAACCACGTTGCAATTTCATAACCGCCAATGGATACATACCTTCACCCACGTACACCATTTCATGCAGCAAGTAAATCACATCCAACCACTTCTCCCCTTTATATAATGGAGAGCTTAGTTACCATTTCATTTAGCACTTCCCAAACAACCACTTCGGCTCCAATCACCTTCGCAATTGCATTGAATATGGCAGGGCTACTTCAATTCAATCAGTAAGTACTACTCATACATCCACCGAAAATCACATTCGTTCATTTGGATTCCTTTTCACTGCTTAGTGCCAACACTTACGGTCAAATATATAGGCATCCCTATGGTTTTGTTGCTAATCTGCAATACGATGATGTTGTTGAAATTTTTGTGCGTACTGATAGCATCGACCTCATTCTGCTGCAAATGAATGGCGAAAATCAGGTAACTAAACGAATAACTTTCTTATTAATCGTACGACTTTTTGGGCATGCTGCATTTTCCCGATTTGCTTTGACCAAAATCGTTTGTGTTTTTACACCAGGGCACCTCTTTTCTGTTATCCGGACGTGTAACGAATTTGCCGACGTCCTGGTCCCCTGCATATAAAATCCATTTCGCCCACCTCACAATTGAGGACGATTTCATCGGTGTTGAGATTGTATTTCCGTCATCACAGTTACGAAGAATTATTGCATCTGTATTCAGTCCTGCAGATGTTGCCAATGCTGACTATATGGCCCTTCTGAACATGCTTGGAGGGCAGACATTTGAATTTATGGTCACAGTCGGTCCCTGGAACAATGCATTTGCTTATTTTGAACTTGTGTTGGTGAAATTATTTTGCCTTTGGAGAATTGAGTACCATGTCATTAACATTGATTCAATATATTAAGTTTTTCTATTTCACACTTTCATATTATTTGTCCTAATACTCAACCAGATTAGATTTGAGCTTAGTAAAATTTAATAAGTATGTTATTCTGATTAACTATTCTTCAAATGTATTATCCTTATATTTACAATACGTGTGTCATTGGTGTGGGTTTTCCCTTAATTACATAACTACTTACATTTTATCTTATTGTCAACGTTCATTCAAATTAGGTGTTTGTCTTCAACGAATTCCAAAATTACAACAATCTTATTCTCATATATGGTTTGACTCATTTCTTAACACTATCATTATTGATATCGTAACTCCATTTCACTTAAACAATTACGGCCAACAGGCCGAGCTATAGGCTAGTTCTTGTAGATAGATAGATGGTGAAGGGCCTCTCTTTACAAACTGCACGGAGATAAATAATTACGGGCCTAGCCCAGGCTCAAAAGATAGAACCCTGGGCCGAACTTTATTCTCCAAAGCCCGAAAGAAAGCCGGATTCCGTTTTACACTAGGACAAGGCGAACTGGGAAGATGACGACGCGGTCAGCTTCCTTCCGCGCCACGCTACCAACGGAACAAAATCCACAGGCTCGACTTATAAATAGGTTTCCCCAATCCCCATCCCCATCCCATTTTTTCTTTCCTATTTCTCTTCAGAACCGATTCGTTAAGATTATCTGGAGCGGCTCCAATTTCATCTCCTCCGCAATTTCTCAGGTTCGCTCCCACCGTCAACTCCGAGAATTCCCAATTTTAGCCCCCAGGCGTTTTCTAGGGTTTCACTGCGTTTGTTTCTCCGCCGCTCGAGTTCGATAAGTAGATTTTCCTCCGTCTTCTTCGCCGGCCGGTCTCTATGCAGGCGATGAATATGAGTATTCACGACCAAATTAGGGTTCCGCATGTGAAGCCTAGTAGTAGCCGGAGTGTTTGCCGTTTCTGGCAGCAGGGGATATGCAACCGAAGCCCTTGCAAATTCGCTCACGGCGGAGAACTCCCGCCGAGGCCGCCGCCGCCCCGTTCTTCTCATGTCTACCTCCGCGGATCTCGTTCGGAATCCCAATCTAAGCCCGTTGGTGGCAGCGCGGCTCCGAAGAAGCGCGAAGAGAAGGTTTGTCGCGATTGGAAGACTGGGAATTGCAGCAGAGGAGACGACAAGTGCCGATTCCTGCACTCCTGGTCACGAGGGGAAGGGTTTTCTATGCTCGCGAGGCTGGAAGGGCATAGCAACACTGCTGTTGTTTCGGGGATCGCTCTGCCTTCCGGATCTGATAAGCTTTTTACTGGGAGCAGTGATGGAGTTGTGCAAGCTTGGGATTGCACAAGTGGTAAGATTGTGGGCACCCTGAATGCTGGTGGGAAAGTTGGGTGTTTGATTACAGAAGGGGAATGGCTCTTCGTGGGATTGCCCAATGTGGTGAAGGCGTGGAATCTTCAAACCGGGGTTGATTGCAGCCTAACTGGCTCAACTGGTCAAGTTTATGCCCTGGAAGTTGGTATGGGATTCTTGTTCGCAGGTGGTTCACCAGATGGCGTGATTTTGGCGTGGAAAGGCGGCAGTAGTAGTACTGGTGAGCAACAAGGCAGCAACCCTTTTCAGCCTGCTGCAGCCCTCAATGGCCACACCAGTGCTGTGATATCAATTGAAGTTGGAGGAGGTGGGAAATTGTTCTCTGGCTCCATGGATGGGACCATCAAGGTGTGGGATATCAAAACCCTCCAGTGCATTCAGACGATTGAGAAAGGGCACGACAGCGCGGTGATGTCCCTCCTCTGCTACTCAGACTTCCTGCTGTCGTGCTCGTTGGACCAGAAGATCAAGGTGTGGGCTGCCACTGGCGAAGATGGAAGGTTCGAGGCGGTGTACACGCACGAAGAAGGTGATGGTGCGATATCAATGTGTGGGGTGGAAGATCCGGATGGAAAGCCGGTTCTGTTGTGCTCGTGGAACGACGATTCGGTTGGGTTGTACGAGCTGCCTTCCTTTGCCGAGAAGGGGAGGATGTATGCGAAAGGAGAGGTGAGGAGCATCAAGGGAGGACCTGGAGGGCTGGTTTTCACTGGAGATGCTACAGGTCTAGTGACTGTGTGGAAGCTGGCAGCAGGAGCAACAAGTGGAGCAGCCATGGCAGAGTGAATCCTTTGCCTTTGTAGGATTTGAGATACCAGATCTCTTTTTGTTTATATTAATCCAGGCTGCATCAAGATTTTGGATGCATTGGTGCAGCTTGTTAGTGAGGCAAAAACCAACACCTAAAAGATCAATGTGGGTTGTTGATTCTTGTGAATTCGACTTGTATATTATATATATATACAGATTCATATATGCGCAATGAAAGATGAAGTACCATTGAGGTTGAGGTTCCTTTTATTCCCTACACTTTGTCAATGCATTTTGGGCCGCATAGGTGCCGTCGGGCCTGGAGGTACTATGGGCCGAAACCCAAGATGGTTCCTGCAACTCCGGCCTTTCTATGGCGTTTCGCCCGTGATTTTCAACAAACGATTTTCGCGTTGTGATAATTACAGCAATTAAAATTCTAATCATTGATTGATATTGTTATATTTTACTGGATTAATGGTGTCAGTTGTCATTAGATTTTAGGGAGATTAGATTTATGAAATGGAAAGAGAGAAAGAAGAATATATGGCTCGCTAAAAGTGATTTAAGTGAGAGAGAGGGAGGCAGAGGATGGGCCACCATGGCCCACATCTTTGTTGTCTCGGTGGATCGTGACTGTGACATCAACAGGCCCATCTTCATTATTATCTTCAAACAATGACTTATGGACACACTCAATTTTGATGTGTGTATATTAAATATTGAAAACGAAATTATTAAAACAAGAAAACAGTTTTCATTCTCACAAAAAAAAAAAAAAAAAAAACAGTTTTCATATTAAGATGAGATCCTGCAACTCTCTTTGCTTATTGAGATTTTGTGTTACTTCCTCATCATAGCTTTTATTTTCTTTTATTATCAATAGAGGCGAGTATATGAGTGGTTAATCTGTGACTTCATGTTGGTGGATCGTTAATTGGAATCTTTCTGTTCACATTTATATGGGTGTTGGTGGATGGATTGTGAGATAGTTTAATGACTCGTACCATATATTTCACATGATAAATCTCTTTTTTTTATAAGGATGATTTGGGTTTTTACTTTTTTTGTGATTATTAAGTACTATTGAAAGAATTGGAACCTGAAACATCGATGTTCTAGACTAATGTTGTTATACCACTAGACCAAACCTTGTTTATCAAAAGCTTTCTATTTTTTATTTTTTATTTTTTAGAAATTTATTATTAAACTAGCAATTCTGAAAAGAAAATGCATGTAATAAATGAACCTAACAAGGGCTGTCTGTTCCAACCACAAAATGAAAAAAAAAAAAAAAAAACAACGGCTGTCCTGTACTATATACTGTCCCCCCACACTCTATTATTGTTTGTTTATTTATTTTGTTCCAACTAGAAAAGCAAAGCAAAGTCACATCTGTTTCTTTCTTATATTCTAATCAAAACCAGAACAAGTCTCGATGGTCATGGGGATGCCTTACAATTGTAGGGGAAGCAGTGCCCTCTCTCTGCCTCCCCACTGCCCTCTACCATGAAGAAGAAAAGCAAATCGGTACTGCACTTTGATACCTTTGTTTATTGCTGTTTGTTGTATCAGAATTTCAGAATGGTCATGTGGGATAATAGATGTTATGGGACTTCATGGAATGTGTAAGTTTAGATGTTAAATAATTGTGTTGATGGGTTGTCCAACTCATAACTCAGATGTCAGAAGGAAGAAAATAACGAGAGAGAGAGAAAAAAAATCCGACCCGATTCGATTTTGTTTCGAATTTGGTGGGAGCACGAAGAATGGTTAACACGTAAATACGATAATGTCATGTGGTTTTGATAGGCAAAGAAAATTAATAACCCTGTAATGACTTGTGGAGCTACTATTTACTTGTTTTTTTTACATGTAATACCACATTAGACAAATCAGCAAAAGAATACGCATTAGACAAATCTCATATCGTCAAATTAAGGGAGAAATTTATGATTCATAAAAAAAACGTACAACCTTAACTGATAAGGTGCAATTTGGTACGAAACCAATGAAATCCGGTAAGAATTGTAAAGTTAAATATACTTAGTGAAACAATACAATGATGAGTGACTTCTCGAAATGTCACTATAATGCACCCCCAAAAGAAAACCGTAACGAATGACCACATAGCAGACAATATCTTTCGTATTAAAATCCAGATAGTAACAAATACCATGGTAAATTTCCTATCTCCGGGAAAGGAAATAAAAAAAAAGGAAATAAAATGGAGATATGGGCCAGATATACTGATAAACACTCCCATCCATCCTCTGGTGTGGACTGTGGTATACTTCTTCTTCTGTTCACTTGTTTAAGGTGGGGAAGAGGGCAGAAACATGCATATGATGATTTTTAATCAATTAATAAAGCTAAAATAAACAAAGACCATTTCTTTTTCTAAACTGATTGGTTTGTTTGTTTGTTTGGGAGTGTGTCATTTTCTCCCTCTCTTTCTCCCTCTATCTCTTTATCCTGTTATCTCCTTCCCTGTGTGTAGCTGTTGAACATTTGCAGTGAGTGACCACTCTGGGTTTTGAGAAGCCAGTTGAAAAAGGATATCCTTTTTATAAAGGTGATGTTACTGTTCAAAGTGTTCATTTTCGCTTTCCTCCATCCTTTTTTTTTTAACTTAAAAAGGCAAAACACACTGTTTAGCACCACAACCTCTGACTTTCTTTTTAATGTTGATTCATCCATTCATTCGTTCAAACACAAAATCCTCACTAATTATTGCTTCACAGCTTCAGCTTCTGTTGGTGCTCTTGCTCTTGCTTCCCCATAATTGTCTGCCATCTCTCTCTCCTTCTTCTCTCTCTCTACATATTTATGGCTCCTTATAATTGTACTTTCACCTACTGCTCCTTTTAGTAGTAAAAACTAGGAGAGAGTAAAGAGTACCATACTTGCCCACTTGCTGGCTTGCTCTCTCTTCTCTCTGTGGTGTGGATATGTGTTTCTCTTCATCTTTTCAAGTTTTTTCAACCCTTTTGTTGCTGCAACCAGCACTGAAATTCAGCATCATCTGAGGCTACTTCCCTTCTTTTGCTCCCTCCCCAAAAGTGGATTTCTTTCTGGTTTCCTCCATGAAGCGAACTTCTCTTCTCTCGGGCTCAGATTCCATTATCACTCCCGTGTAAGCTACTTTACTTTTCTTCCAAAGCCCAGTCTTTTCTTCCCTTTCTCTCTTTTCTTGGTGTAATTTGGTTTGTACTTTGTTGGGTTTGTGATGAATCTCTGTGTTTCTGAGTCATGGTTGCTGAGATTTATGTTGATGTCCCCAAAATTTGTTCAATTCTGACATCTTATCCTGTTCCCTATGTTGTGTTTTCACTTTTCTGATGTGGGTTTTCTTTGTTTCACCTTTGCCATTCTTTTCTGCTTCTCCTTTGAAATTGAAGTGCTAAAGCTAACCCGGGCTCTTTGTTCTATTCGCTTAGACTTGGTCAGATTCACTAACCCTTTCTGCTCAAACAGTTTACTGGTAGTACAGCAGAAAGCTGGTTGAGCTTGTTATATCTTTCAAAAGCTTTGACCTTTATCAGCTGAGTAATGAATGATGTGGTTGAGGTTCTTTGTGCTTGTTGTAGTTGGAGATTCAGTGGCTGTTTGAATACTGTCTTGTGTAGTGGCTCATCTATACTCAACCTCTGATCTGAGATCAACCAATGGTCTAGCATCTGGGGTTGAAACATTTTCCAAATCATCAGCTTCATGCTTATCAGGAAGCATGAAGAAATCTGGGTAGGAGTAGGCCCTCTATGCTGTTTGTTTTTGCTGTTCCGTAATCATGAAACTGCTCCATAATTGGACTAGTTCTCATTCTTAAGTAGTAAATTCAATTCTATGCTGTTGAATTCTATGCTTTCTCCAATTACTATATAGTTCCAGCCAGAAATGACATCTATCTGGTGTCTTTGATCTTCTGAGTTCTCTACCTCTAGTTTCGGCTGTATTTCTCATATATCGGTTTGATAAGAGATCTTCAACAAGCATTGTATTGGTAGTGGTGGTGTAAACGATGGATCGGCTGCACTAGATAGAGGATAGGAGTGATATACTCGAACATAGTTGATATAGCTGGCTGTAAGTTGGTGCAGAACCAGTTGGACGGATAAGGATGGAGAACATGTCTAGCAATGGAGAATGTTTTATTAAGAGAAAATTCTTAACAAAGGTGAGCATTGCAGCATTGTATATGCCTGTGAAGTCCAGATGTTGCAGTTGATCTTAGGACTCTCAGACTCTGGCTATTTCGTCGCATGATCTCTTACCTCTATGTCACCATTAGCTCTCTTAAGTCTTAATGACGTCTTCCCTTTGTTGCTAACTGCTTGTTCAAGGTTTCTTCCCAAGACTGATCTTTCTGCTATCTGATATAGATACAGACAGTGCATTAAGATTCAAAAGAGGCGAGTTAAATGTAGTTTCACTTTGAAGAACCTACAGCTAGGGCACACTATGTAGTGTCTCCTTTATCGAATCATCCTATGTGTGCGATGTTCAACGTTTCAACTTGTGGATCACTAGCCTGATGTTTCTGTAATGTGACCATCTCTAGTAGCGGAGATGAGCTGAAGCTCAATGGTCACTTCTTTTATGGAACTGATTGACCAAACATCATTTATGATATAGATGGTAGAAATGCTTTTTTAAGGGTGTGCAGTGCAGATGATTTGGTACTTCCATTGCTCGTTATGTATTTCGTATCCGTGATGGAACGCTCAGTGCTTAGACTACAGCCATGCGCTTTGGAACCCATATCAGCTGAGGTTTTTCCCCATTCACAATATAACTGATGACATTTCATTCTCTAATTGCAGCTGAGAGTGGCCTAATCACTGTTGCCTTGAATTCCCATTGTTGAGAAAGCATTCAAGACACCATTTTCGACGCAGTCATGCAGCAACATCCCAACTCCAAGTTCGACTCGGAGTATGAGTCTGATCATGAAAGCAGCAGCCAAGTAGCATCATCCAACTTATCTGCTAGCGAACCTTCACCGGACCCCTCCAAGGACACCACCACCCTCTCGTCCTCCTCGCTCCCCCTCGACCTCGACCTCTCCCTTCAACTGCAGCACTCCCAAGACCCCGCCCACCTCAAACCACCAATAGCAGAACATGACCCGAACAATGCATCCGCCCCTCCTACACCACCACCTGGAGCCGGTGTCCAGCCGCGGGTCTTCTCCTGCAACTACTGCAGGCGCAAGTTCTACAGCTCGCAGGCGCTGGGTGGCCACCAGAATGCCCACAAGCGCGAGCGAACCATAGCGAAGCGAGCAATGCGGATGGGGATCTTCTCCGACAGGTACAACAGCTTGGCCTCCCTGCCCTTGCACGGAGTCTCCGCATTTCGCAACCTCGGCATCAAGGCTCATTCCGCTACTCATCACAGCAACATGATCCCCTTCCAGAGGATGCCGCCACAGGCACAACCGCATCCCCAGCAGCAGCCACTGTCCGCGGCTCGATTCGAGCAGAGCTACTACGGGGTGCCCGTGCTGACGACGACGACGGAGGAGGACGATGTAGGGCTGTATTGGCCTGGGAGCTTCCGGCAGGTTGTTGCCACCGGTGGAGCAGTCAGTATCCCCGCCGCTAATAATCACAACAACAATAATCAGTTCGGTCATTTACAGTATGCTGAGAGGCGGCTAAACAGCAATAGCACTAGTAGTTTTGTTGCCATGGAAGTCCCGGATTCTTCATCTCTGGCGCCGGATCTAACACTCAAGCTATGAACTTGGATCTTGATTTTGTTTGGGTTAGATGTAAGTTGATTGTTGTGACTTGTGAGATCTCTTTGTACAGTGAGATACCCAATTTGCTTCGTCTTGTATCAGAATGAGTTTGCTTCACTGATTTCATTTTTGTTCTTGGTGAGCTTAGTGACCATTTTCATACACATAATTTATCTATAAACAACAACCACATCAACCCAAAAAAAATCAATACTATATTTTCTATTTAGTAATAAATTTTGTATAAAAGTGGGGCAAAAAGAGATAATGAAAGTATAAACCTATATATGTGGTAAATAGTGAATTATTTTTTTTCTTCTTCTCGATTAAAAAAAAGGAGCTCGACGAGGTATGCCTTTTCTCTGATGCGACGGTTTCCTAAAACTTGCCGTCGAACACGGTGACACCGTCAACCATTCCGTCCCCCTTTCTTCTTCTTCTTCTTCCTCGTCACCATCCGCCTCCCATATTGTTTCCGTTAATGCCGACCCTTCCTCGTTTTCGTTATTGCTTGTTTCCTTGTACGGCGTTATGGGAACTCCGTCCTCCAGCAACGACGGTTCCGTTTTGGCTTCTAGTATGCAGGATGAACCTGCTGCTGACACCTGTACAGTTTATAATTGAACAAACCCCCACATTAATGGTGATTACTATTCCTTTGTTTTGGCTAAAAAAAGAAGTTCACTTACAGAAATTAGATAGGTAACTGATAGAGCATATTACAGAAATTCTATTTTGGTAAAATCTTACTTAAAAGAGACTTAATGGAGATAATGAATTTGGGAGATAGGATTCTATTCTGCAAAACCTAATCTTTTGCAAATTTGAACAAGACCACAAGTAGAAAGGAAATTGATTGAGCTTACCCTACAGATTGCACTATGATAATCTTACATTAACCTAATTTTTTCAAGCTCTATAAACGGATGAATGATATAATAATAATTTATTAATATAAATCGAATACTCTCAATTGAACATAAAAACTAGTCTCGATTATACTAATTTGATATCTACCATGCTTCTTTCAAAAAAATATTAAAATTTAATAATAGATGCAATATAAAATTAGCAAAACGCATGCATTGATAAAACTATGTATAATTACGAATAACGTTTCAGATAAATACAAAAATTACAGGATCTAAAAAAAACTCAACACTTTTCATAGATCATAGGCGTCAATTATCATCAATGCAAAATGAAATAATTATGATATATCAGACCACTCGATTGTGCCTAACTCATCATGTTTATCCTTCTAATTAAAACATCATGATGATAAGTACAATTGATAGGATCATGCTGTTGAACGAAATCCTTCATGATTATAATTGCAACACCACAAATCTTAATTAAGTACTTATCAGCAACCCAATTTTTAGAAGGACACCATATAATAGTAAAATTAGAAGGATATCCATGAATTAGGTCTAATCCCATATATCACCTAAATCGGTAGTGCAACAAAACTCTGCATCAAGATTTTAAAAAATATATATTATAAATATTCAACAAAATATTATCAACTCCACAAATTTCAAAAACTAACCGAAAATCATCGATGTAAACGGTAAAACTCGCGGTAAAACGCAATCATATTACAATTTGCTAATCATTATCACTCACAACGCATTTGAATAGATTCGAAATTCGACCTGGAATCCCTATACATCCCACGTTAATCTATGATGTGGTTCTCTAAGTACTTGGGTTACAAGTATCTAAACTTGCATTCCAAGAAACAGACCCAATTAGACCAAAGGAATGTAAAGAGAAGAACAGATTGGAGCTAGCAGATTAAGGGAGTTAAAAAGGTTTTTTACCTTACAGGCAATGGAGCAGTAACGATTGGGCAAGTCCTGTAGGTATCTTCGACAAACAACACAAGCTGCTCCAAATTTGGCCTTGGTTGATGGCTTTGCATCTTTCTGCACCGGCCGAGGATTCAAATGCACCGCCTTCTCCCCGTTTATCTTGTAAGTCTGCCCCATCAACACCCAATTTCAGTTCATTAGCAAGAAAATCAGATTCAACACTATACTCTGGTTTTTCTCCACAAATCAAGGGACAAAGAGAAAGGAAAAGGAGAAATTGGACAGTTTTCCACACAACCAAACCTACCAACCAGAAGTCAAAAATCAACAACCCGGGTGGGGGGGGGAAGGAAAAAGAAAGGAAAAGGGTCCAATTTTGACTGTCGAGTAGGGACTAATCAGCACAGTACGAAACCAAACAAACCCACAAATCCGCCATTGATTGATTGGGTTGGAGGGTGTAAAGGAGAAAACCGATGTTATTAACTTATTATAATACCTGGATTCGAGAACAGTCGAAGTGCTTCTGAATATCGAGGAGGCGAACCACGTCCTGATAAACGTACTTGCAAATCTGGAGATGGCGGTGGAAGCAGGAATGGGATTTCAAACAATGCCTGCAGAACCCGGCGTTGCAATCCAAACAGAAGACGTTCCTCTCGTTCTTCCGCAGCTCCCTGTGGCTAGCGCAGCCGCCGAAGAACTCGCTGTTCAATAGGGTTTCCACCCACCGCCGCTCTTCTTTCTCTATGTACATCTCGCATCCTACCTACCCACAATCCAGAAAAGGGAAAACAAAACAAACCCATCATCAAAATCGATCATCAGAAAAAAACCCAGTACGCAGAATATCGAAACAGAGCTTCAGAACGGAGTAATTTCACAATTCGTGAAGGTTTTCGGGTACCATTTTTGCTGCTGCGAAGTGGGTCTGATGAGCTCTCGCGGGTCTTCGTGGTTTCAATGGCGGAATTTGGGGGAGAGGGTTTTTTTTGAGGGAATGTGAAAGGATCACGGAAAGGGGGGAACAATGTGAATTGATGAGTCGGGCTTCCCTTTTTGTTTGTTAATTGTGGTGAATCATAAATGGTGGTGGAATGGGAATTATATTAGGGAGGAAAAAAGAAGATAAAAAGGAAACGAAAATCTCTGTGTGCTGCGGAAAATTGATACAGAGAGAGAGAGAGAGGAAAGGGAAGTGGGGTTGCAGACGGCGGGAACTGGGGGATGGATATTCACCCATCTCCCTCTCTTTTTTTGCCCACTACGGCTTGTTCATTGGTGGAGGAAAAAGAATATTAAAATGGAAAATGGTAATTTAGGGGGGGAGATAAGTGAATAATTGATCTTCATATCGAGAGGGTTAAAAGAAGATAGAAAGAGGAGAGTCGAAAAAAATATGGGGTTTGTTAGAGGAAAAAAATTCCCTTTCTCCATAATGGCGATTTGTTAGGGATTCTGTAATTTCCTGTTCAAATTACCAATTCCGTAAGATTTTAGTATTTTACTGAAAACTAGAATTTCAAAAAAAAAAAAATCTAAAATGTATTGGATATTTCATGCCTTTTTTAATTAGTTAAGAAACTCTTCCTAACAGGATATGTGATATGGGTATGGTGAATTTCAACCAGTGGGTCGATCTATTTTTTTTTTATCCCGACTCGGTGGGAAAGCGGGTCGACACGCTGCAAGGTTATCGGGTTGGAGATCGTACAATGATGTTTTTCTCTTTGGTCAAATGTGTATATTTTCGGTTTTTCTCTACGTCTAACCCTAACCCTATCTTTGGAATTCTAAGTTGAACATTGATGTTATATAAGTGTGTGTGAATTTTCACTATATGTTTGATCCAAGTACAACATGTTATTTTAGTGCAATGTTATATGTTATTACTCATATGTTAAATGGGATTTGATGTAATTTGTAAACAATGTAATGAATTTTTCATATATCCGTGCTGAAGCGGTCAGACCATTAACCTTCACAACCCACTTGCTCGACCGAGCCAATGGGCTAAACCGGGTTGACAACTTATTCCCAAGTTAGTGCGATTTAGAGAAAATGGTTGACTAGATGGCACAAATACCTTGTTGCAACGGGAGTCCACCATTATGAAGGAAAATAACGATCGATCGCTTGCTTCCATAGGTCGGTCAAATTCGAAAAATCTCGTAACTCAACAAGACGGTTGACTTTGTATTATATGACATATTGAGATTGATCGGAGAAGAAGACGCTAACCTACAATTTGGTGTTTGTTTGACCGCCATGTTGTGTCGATCGAATTGTTTTAGTAAAGATAATGTTGTACAATAGTTGAAATCTCACAAACCCCATTATAAGGTTGATAATTGAATACTTAACTATAGTTCAACAATAACAAATAATCTACAAATATCAATCCACAACAACAAGAAAAATATAATAAACACCCTTTAGTTCACAAACCATCCCATTTATAATCACTTGAAGTGTGCTCATCTGATTTTTTATATATATATATAGTCATATAATTCATGCAATACCATATATTTTTTAGGGTAAGAGGATAATTGGTGAGTGGGATTCTCTAGTTGTGTCAATGTTTTTTTTGTAACTGTACAGTTTCGTCTGTTTAATGAAAGTGATGGATCGTTTTCTCCAAATCGTAATAAAGTTGTAACCATAAATATAAAAGTAAACATTATTCAATTTAAAAAACATTTGATACAAAGACATGAAACTGAATTGCTAATCGTCGCCCTAAAATTTAAATTTTGTCGCCCTAAAATGCATTAAATTGACATATTTACCCCCAATTTCTAACCAAAACCTTAAACAAACAATTCCTTACCATGCCTAGCCGCCGTCGAGCTCATTGTCCTCCGGGCGCTGTTGTTGGACTCTTCTCGTTGGCAGCTGCCCACCTCAAGTTGGTTTTGTCCAATACTTGGCGGCCAGAGACTAGGACGGATTCCAAGTTGATTTTGTCCGGTACTTGGTCGGCCGGAGTTTCGGCGGCGAGAGAAGGGAGTCAAGGGGAGAAGAGGTGAATTGCAGTTGGCTGACTGCCACTTGTATTGTCAATCTAAGCTAGAATCAGATATTGTGTGTTCAGTTGCTCTCCTTGATCCATATCATCCAAGGCATCAGGATCATCATTTCGACGGCTTTCTTCCATTTTTGCAATTTAGGTTTCTGATTGTAATTTTGTGTTTCTATTCTTAGTTTTTTGGGCGGAGGTGAGGAAGAGCGCGGCTGGCGGAGAAAGAAAGGTCACCGCCGGCGACCGCGTATGTAATAGTTGGCTGGGTTTGTAACACATATTGCACTAAGGATATTTGAGTCATTTTGGTAAAAGTTAGGGCGACGAACAAGACATTTTAGGACGACGAATAGCAATGCCCGACATGAAAATGTCATAACCCATACTAGAAAATAAATCACACCGTATGGTTAGGAGCACTTTTAATTTTCATGACATTCATGCTCCAGTTTCCATGTATGCTAATTACCTTTTACACTTCGAGATACATAAATGGAAGTAGGAACTGACTAATTCATGGCAGTAAAAAGAAAAACTACTGTCTTTGAGGAAAACCATGAAATTCACAGCTATCATGGAAAATAGATTCTTGAAAAATGCATGAATCCTTCTCTATGACCAAGAGATACATTTTAAGTGGTATAGGATGCATAATTTAACTTCTTCCTAATAAATCAAGTTATTGGAGCAAGGTTGTCAATCCGTGGGTCGACCCCCGGGTCGACCCACTTTGACCCTGACCCGATGAGAAAAACAAGTCGCACATACATGTCGGGTCGATCGTTACAAAGTATCGGGCTGGAGGTCAAATTATGTCATTTTTTTCTTTGGTTTGCGAAATGCGCCTATTTTCCGATTTTTCTTTTCGCCTAACTCAATCTTTGGAATCCTTAGTTGAACATTTGAATATTGATGTTGTATAAGTGTGTGTGAATTTTCACTATATGTTGGATCTAAGTACGACATGTTACTTTGGTGAGATGTTATATGTTATTACTTATATGTTAGATGAGATTTGATATAATTTATCAAGATAAGTGCAAATGTGCAATATAATGACTCTTTTCATATTTTCGGGCTAAAACGGGTGACTCATTAACCCTTTACCCACTAGCTCGATCGGGTCAACCCGCGGGTTGACAACCTAATTGGAGTCAACTAATCCATAACACGATACAATATCATTAAATGACTGAGAGGTCTTGTGGTCAAATACTGACAACTCTCATTTGCTAAACATATGATATTCAAATCTGTGCTGAGGAAAGTTACTGATGAAATGAATGAGGAAAGTTACTGATGAAATGAATGCCCAGCTTACTGCGGCAGTGTTGCCAGCAGAAGTACGGAGTACGGTTTTCTCCATGGGCTCCAGGCAGGCTCCTGGGTCTGATGGTTTCACGGGAAAGTTTTTCAAATCCTTTTGGGATATAGTGGGCGAGTCGGTGATTGAAGCTGTTTGCTCTTTCTTTCAAACCAACCGCCTATTGCGGAGTTTTAACCATACTTGGCTCACTTTGATCCCGAAGGTGGATAATGTGGAGACCATTTTCCAGTTAAGGCCCATTAGCTTGTGCCAATTTGTGTATAAGGTGATTACTAAGATTATGACTGAACGTCTGGCCCCTTTCCTTCCTAAGATCATTTCGGAAGGCCATAATGCTTTTATTCGGGAAAGACAAATAGTGGAAAATGTGTTGTTGGGGCATGAGCTAATGCACTACCTAAAGATTAAGAATCGGGGGAAGAAAGGCTATATGGCTCTGAAGGTTGATATGGAAAAAGCCTATGATAGAGTTGAGTGGCCCTTTCTGCTTGCGATTCTAGCTAAACTGGGTTTCAGCCAAACTTGGATTGGTTGGATTAGGGAGTGTCTTAGTTCGGCTTCCTTCTCCATACTTATGAATGGTTCTCCGGCGGGGTTTTTTCGTTCGTCCCGTGGGCTGCGCCAGGGTGACCCCCTTTCCCCACTTTTGTTTGTGCTATGTACGGAAGGGTTCTCGGCGCTCCTGCGCAGGGCCATTGCTGAGGGGAAATTGGAGGGAGTAAAGGTGGCACCCCAGGCGCCCAGGATCTCCCACTTGTTTTTTGCGGATGATTCGTATTTATTTTTACGAGGATCGCTTCAACAATGTGAAAATCTGATTGAGTTGCTGAACGAATATGAGGAACTGAGTGGGCAGCGGGTTAACCTGGGGAAATCGGCGGTGTGCTTTAGTAAAAACATATCTATTCCGGATCAGGAGTTTCTGGCTCAAATCTTGGGGGTTGGGGCGGTTGGTGTCCATGATAAGTATCTGGGTCTGCCCTCCCTCATTGCCCGTTCGAAGATGGCCACTTTCCGGTTCGTGGAGGAACGGTTAATCGCGCGGCTGCAAGGATGGGCTCGAAGGACATTATCTGCGGCCGCCAGGGAAACCCTGATAAAGTCTGTTGCTTCGGCACTCCCGTTACACGTGATTCGTGCTTCAAGCTGCCGCTTTCACTGTGTAGAAGCCTGGATCGCCTGGTAGCGCGGTTTTGGTGGGGAGTTGAGGACGGGCAGTCACGGATCAGGTGGATGTCTTGGAGAAGGATGTGTCGGAGTAAGCATGAGGGAGGGCTGGGCTTCCGGCGTTTTGAGTTTTTTTTAACCAAGCGTTACTGGCTAAGATTGGGTGGCGTATTTTAATGGATCCCCAGTCCCTCCTAGCCCGGGTGTATAAAGGGAAATATTTTCCTCGTGGGTCCTTCCTTTCAGCGACTGCTCGCTCGCGGCCTTCCTGGGGTCGGCAAAGTATTCTGTATGGAAGGCAGTTGCTAGCCCGTGGGCTTAGATGGCAGGTTGGGGATGGTAGGGGGTGAATGCTTTAACTGAGTGTTGGGTTCCAGCGCTCCACCCTGACCCGCCCACGGTTAATCCTCGGATTTTCCCTGAAGGGTTGGATCTAAAGGTGGCTAATTTTGTTTGCCCGGTGGAGGGTCGATGGTTGATGGATAAACTGTGTGATTGGTTCCCCCCCCCCCCCCCCCCCCCCCCCCGATGTTTGCCGTGCTATTCGTAGTATCCTGTTGCCTAGGAGGGCTGTGGAGGATAGACTTGTTTGGCACATGACGGGGGATGGGGTTTTTTCGGTGAAATCTGCTTATCACCTGGCTATAAGCATGGATCAGCAGGCTGGGGGTTGGCGCCCAACAGTTAGTTGGATGGATCGGGAAAGTTGGAAACGGGTGTGGAATCTGGGGATCCCGCCCAAGTTGAAGGTGTTCTTGTGGCAAGTGTTACATCGTTTCCTTCCCACTATGGAGGCACTTATCGGGAGGAGGGTGGCTGTTCATCCCCGATGCCCGGTTTGCTGGGCTCCGCCGGAGACGATGGAACATCTCTTTTTGGAGTGTCGTGTGGCTCGGGCGATGTGGGATTATGCTGGGTTAGAGCATGTGGGCCAAGGATTGCCTCGCCATACCTTCCCTCTTTTTCTTAAAAGACTGCTGGCCATCATCAAAGGCCCTTCGCAGATCATGGCGGTGGTGGCTGTGCTCTGGCGGATCTGGAAGTCAAGGAATTGGGTTGTCTTTGATGGCAAACAATTTGGGTTTCCGGCTTTACTCCGTCAGTACCACCACCAGCTGGGGGAATGGGTTTCGCTGCCGAGGGTGGGGGTGGGGTATAACCCTGTGGTTGGTATTCCTCGGGTGTCCCATACCCCCCTGGATACCACTGTTTGTAGGTGGGATGGAGCGGTCAGGCATCAGTCACACTCGGCCGGGGGGGGGGGGGGGGGGGGGGGTGGTGGTGTTGATGGGGTCGGACGGGGAGGTGGATGGTGCTATAGGTGTTTACTTTCCGGCAGCGTCCATTAAACCGTATCGTACCGGCGGTTCAACCATGAAATACCAGTATCGGAGGCTAAACCGATATGCGGTATTTACCGGTATAACGGTTGAACTACGATTAAACCACGATTTTACCATAAAATACCCTAACGCTGACTTTCCCGGTACAGTCTCCGGTACGGTTTCATGGACCATGCTTTCCGGAGGTGGATGATCCGAAGCTTGTTGAGCTTTTGGTTCTCCGGGAGGCCATCCTGTGGTGCCGCAACCTAGGGCTCAGGCAAGTTCAATTTGAGGGGGATGCTAAGGTGGTGATTGACAGGCTCAATTCGGCTTAGGGGAGTGATAGTACTGCGGTGCGATTTTTCGAGAAGTGTTGCTCTATCTGGCTGAGAATGAAGGGTTTAGGGTTCGATTCGTTGGTCGGCATAGTAACAGGGTAGCCCACTTGGTGGCTTGGAAGGCCCTTTCTTTGTACCCGATAGTGAGTCGTTATTTTGATTTTGTAGCCTGGTTAAGGCATATGGTGTAATGATCTATTCTTCGGTATCAATATATGATTATCTTTTGTAAAAAAAAAAAAAAATCTGTGCGAACTTCAACATCACATAAATCCGCTTTTTGTTTGAGTTGTAAAATGTGAATATAGTCCACGCGTCAACCAAATCATCCAAGGCCAAGTCTCTGTCTTTGAGGTTGAGGAACAAAAAATTATTGTAGCCCAAATCATGAAAGATCCTAGATAGTTACTGATTTATCTATTTAAGCACTAGTTCTATTATTCATTTTTTACAAGTAACTTATTTTGTAGGGTTGGTCACGTACCAACAAGGTTGTCAACCCGCGGGTCGACCCGCGGGTTGACCCATTTTGACCCTGACCCGGTGAAAAAAATGGGCCGCACACACCCGCCGGGTCGACCGCTACAAGGTACCGGGTTGGAGGTCAAATTGTGTCATTTTTTTCTTTGTTTTGCGAAATGTTATTTTGGTGTAATATTATATGTTATAACTCATATGTTAGATGAGATTTGATATAATTTATCAAGATAAATACAATATAATGACGCTTTTCATATTTCCGGGCTAAACCGGACTAAAACGGGTGACCCATTAACCCTTGACCCACTAGCTCAACCGGGTCCGGATCAACCAACGGGTTGACAACCTTGCGTACCAAAAAAAGAGAGGAGCATGGCTACAGCCTAAAGAGACAAGACAACCTTCGAATTTCCACTTCTAGTTGCTTCTCGTTAAAGCAGGTGGTTGGATTGTTACCATAGAAAGCATTTTAAGGATCTCACCCTAACATAACAAGCATGAATTCATAAACTACGCAATAGGATTGAACCATCCATTTGAGACTTGGGAATTTATAATGCTAAGTAATTGTTCTCTTTTTCGGTTATAGCAAACTAGTGGGTGATCTCTGTTTCCACCGATTCTGCTGCTTTTTAGGAGTGTTTTGGACTTTGGAGAAGGGGATTCGAGTTATAAGTTTAGTGAATTTATAGATTCATTCTCTATGTTTGGCCCGATTTGTAGAAGTATTTTTCGGTTTCAAAAGCTGAAGCAGGGCAAAATACCTGTAAAAGCTCGGCTTTTAAAAAGTCGAAAAGCGCTTTTGTATAACATAAAAGCAGAAACTCCGATTTGGAGCTTCTGTGAAAGGCTGTTTTGAAAATACAAGATTATCCTTACCATATTTTAATTTTATTTCAGAAAATATAATTTTTCTTCATTTATATCATTTTAAAAATAAAATAAATTATAAAATCATATTATTTAATATAAAAGAAATCTAACAACATCCATTTTGACTACTTTTTATTGTTTAGAATTTTTATTCATATTTTATATTATAAGTCCTATATAGTCATTTTACACAACCTCTCATATTAAAAAGCACTTCTAATAGTTTTACAGCCAAACACTCAACTGCTTTTTTTGAAAAATACTTATCTAAAATCTCCAGCCAGAAGTTGCTTCTGCAAAAGCTACCGCAGGGCCAAACTAAGCTATTAAAAAGTTATGTCTTTTTGTTGCTTTTTATATTATGGATTTTAGTTTTAGAGATTTCATAATAAGAGAGATTTTATATAGAGATTTGTGATATATTTCTTTTATCATTTTTATTGTTCCTTTTTTTATTTATCCACCTGAATACCCTTGTCTATATTTTTTTAGACAATTTGGTTGTTTTTTTAAGGATAAACATGACAATTTATATATTATTAGAATTTATATTTTCATTGAAGGTTAACAATTGCATTTATCAAATAATGAATATGTTAAAATCTTTTTCAACAATCCATAGATTTATATTTTTTGGATTGTTTAGAATCTAAGGATTTAAACACTAATTCTCAAGATGAACCCTTAATATAAACTAATGCATAAATGCTTTCTGAGTTTAAGTTGTTATACTTTCGCACTTCTTTCAAGTCTAGGGCTCTCAGCACGTTAAAAAACAAGTCGAGTCGAGTTTTATAAATCTAAATAGTTGAACCCTTAAATATAACTCTATAATAATTTATAAATTGTATTCCATAATATTTGTATGTCAAAAATGATACATATGTGGTTGACGAAAAAAGAACAATAATCAATATTTCATCACAAATTGATCTCATATTTATATACTATGTTAGTGTAATATAGTTTAGTTCATAATTTTTAACTAATTCACATCATGTTATATAAATAACTTTTAGTAAGTAAGTAATCTATAATACATAATTTATCTTTCAAATTATAACGTGATATTACTGGTCACATACTCAAAGTCTTAAATTATTATATATATTATGAGATATAATCTAACAAACGAGCTGAGTTACAAATGAGTTTTCCCGAATCAAGCGCCGAATCGCTCGTGAGCGGATTAGCTCATTTACAGGTTTACTCAGGTGAGTCAGGTCTACTCTATGAAACTTGGCGCCAAAATTGCCCCATGGAAGCCGCGTTTTGCCTTTTTCAATAGGCTTCCCTTGTTGGGCTTAGGGTTTCGCTTTGGGCCTGGTCATTTCATTTTGCATTTTGGGCTAGACTGGCGCCCCATTAATTGAATCTATTCAAGCCTGGCCCTTGCTTTCTCTAAAAAAAACTAATCTTAAAAACAGAAAAAGAAAGGTTCTGCCGAGCTGAGCAAACGCAGCCAGCCATGACTGATCAAACTTCAAAGTCCAGTGCCCTGAAACGCCGTTGAACGGTACGAGTTCCTCTTTGCAGTTTTTGTCCCCTCTAACCGCCATTTTTGAAGTTGATGAAGGAGCGAGACGCCCTCATCTGTTGCCCGAGTATTCTCAGGATATACCCAAAGATTCTCTTTTTCCTCTGCCTCTTTCGTTGGGTTCTCAATTTGAGCAGCAGCTTCCCTGTTAATTTCTTCTATTCACCCAGACATCTCAGAGGGGAATAGCAAAGGACTGCCTGGCTCCAGTACACGTTCTGCATATCAATTGAAAGAAGCTTCTGTTTTCCCCTTCAGAGGTTCGCCCTTGCCTATAGATTTCCCTTCTTTTCTTTAATAAATTTTTCTTGTTCTGGGTCTTTCAATTGGTTCGATGGAATGATATGGATGCGCATTTTTGTGTGTGGGTTTAATCTGTTTGCTGCTGTTCATGGATGGAAAGACCCAAATATGGGGGGAAATTCAAATGCTGGCGTTACATTAGCTTAGCCAATTCCACATTGTAATTGCTTTTCACTCATTGGGTTTGTTGTATGAAATCCCTTCTGCAGAATAGACTCTCTTTGTTCCCCAATTCGCAAACAATCCTTTGGGATTCTGCGATCCCGCTCTGTCTTTCGGCGCCTTTTTGCTGTCCGAGTGATTGGTCAAACAATGGCTACGAATATGGTCTCACGGGCTTCTTTCATTCAATCCAAACCTTCACTCTCTTTCAAAACCGGGCACGGACATCGTCTCCCTCAGCCGTCTCTGCCAGCAAGTGAAGTCCTTTTCTTCCTTTGCTTTCTTGTTTCTTCTTTTGCTACACTCAATTTTCTTGGCATTTGTTGTTTATGGAATTTCTCTCTTTTTGCTTTGCAGATGTGGCTTTTGTGGCCACCAAGGGAAATGGGTTGGCCGTCAGATGTTCGGTGGCGGTCCCTGAAGCCGCTTCAAGGTCTGGGGAATCCAGTAGGAAGGGGACCAAAAGCCCTGTCATTGTTATTGACAATTATGACAGTTTCACTTATAATCTTTGCCAGGTTTGCTTCTTTTTGTTGCTGGATTGCTGAATCAAGATAATGGAATTTGCTTGAATTGTCTTGAATTTTAGCTACTGATCTGTGTGGGCTGTGTGGATTGATCTCTTTTTAAATCATTTAGATTGAGGAAGGGCATTAGTTTTGGCGACTTGATCTGTACATTAGCCATCTTTGGGTTAAATTGAAGGAAAATTTCGTGTTGGCCTGATTTGGTTCCAGTACCAACAATTGGTTAATGTCATAATGTGCTTTGGTGGAGACTTCCCTTTTCCCAAAATCATATTCTTGCTAATCCAAAACATGTATCATCTTGTCCTGCAGTATATGGGAGAGCTGGGATGCGAATTCGAGGTTTACCGGAATGATGAGTTAACTGTGGAAGAGTTGAAAAGGTATACTCCTATGTTTCTAGTATGATCAAATATCTTAATGTATGTTATATGCTTTTCGACACATCTGCAACATTTTCTGCCTTTTGACAGGAAGAATCCTAGAGGTGTGCTGATATCCCCAGGACCAGGTCAGTGTGCTGCGTACGGCGCAAGTGCCAACTGTGTTGTACGTTGTTAGAAATACAATAAACTGAAAAGGGGAATTTTAAGCGCTTTACTGATTTGCAATTCTCTCTATAGGAGCCCCCAAGGATTCTGGAATATCTTTGCAGACGGTTTTGGAGCTTGGACCAATCGTACCCTTGTTTGGTGTGTGTATGGGGTTACAGTGCATTGGCGAAGCATTTGGCGGTCAGTTTTCTTAAGAATTTTGAAGTTCTGCTGCTACTTTTACTGTTATTTCTTGGTGGCATAGTTTATGAACGTCAATGTCCTCTTCATACTCATACTATGCTTCATTAATCCGATTATTTGTTATATTTGCAGGGAAGATTGTGCGTTCTCCTTTCGGGGTAGTGCACGGTAAAAGTTCCCTGGTGTACTATGAAGAAAAAGGCAAAGGGTTGTTTACTGGGTTGCCAAAGTATGTACCTTTACCACTAAACACGTTCGTGCATTTGTTTGTTTGGTTCCTCTCCTATTCTTTGCCAAGCTAACCTCTCTGTCTTTTGGCATGTTGAAGTTTGTATGCATCTTGTCTGCATGTTCTAACCTCCTTCCTTCTACTATGAAAATGTTCTACATCAGAATTGAACACCTGTAACTTTAGCTGTCAAAAATTTCATTCGTCCAGTGTTGCACAGCTTGTTTTTCTTTCCAGTTTATTTATGACTATATGAACACTTCAATTATAGTACATATTTCTGTTGTGGCGCCTTTCCACTACTTCTTGAAGAGACGCACCAACCTTACATTGTTATCTCTATGTGGACTTTCTCCAGCCCTTTCAAAGCTGGTAGATATCACAGCCTAGTTATCGACAGGGATACGTTCCCGGTAGACGAACTGGAGATCACTGCATGGACTGAGGATGGGCTGATCATGGCTGCCCGTCACAAGAAGTACAAGTATCTGCAGGTGAGGTTTCTGTGCTCTAATGTCACTGTTATGCACCCTGAACTCTTCATGGTTCTGTTACTTTCTGATTGCTTGAATTCGGTTTAGTTTAACTCTACTCATCCATAACCTCGAGCCAACTTTTTTTGTTGGCAATGTTGCAGGGTGTGCAGTTTCATCCGGAGAGCATCATAACCTCAGAAGGCAAGATCATCGTTCAGAATTTTCTCAAGATGATAGAGGAGAAGGAAGCCGCCGAGTCAATGAACAAGGGACACGTTGCTACTGGCCTTATGGCGGAGTGAAGAATTGTATACTGGGAGGCAACAGATTAGGAGAATGAATGGTCTAGTATTTTAGAAGTTTCTGCTGTTCTAGTTTTTAGTGGACACCTAATTTAGATGAGCAAGACCTGTGGTGTTCAAAGCTAAGCTTTGCTCTAGCAAACCAGCCAGCCTAAGAATGAAAAAAAGGAAAATTCAATAGTTTGAGGCTGCATACATCATAATTGAGCAGCAGCTGGGGCATCAAAGCAATGAAGGGAAGGAGTGGAAATAAACGGGAAAGTAGTAATGATGAACTGGATTTTGAAATGAACTGGGTTCCATTTCAGAATGAACTTTTGCTGTCAGTGGCAGCTGGTCTGGTGATGATAACATACAAAGAGACTTCCAGCCCCATGAGTTGCTGCAGTTTTCCTGCCCCATTCCCTCAACTGAGCTCGAAAGATATGATGGCAAATTACAGAGAGGTCCAAAAATGGATCGAAAGAAAGAATTTCACATCATCCCTTTTTCCCCAACCACATGAATTTCCTCACACAATGAAATGTAATGAGAGAGCACCCTTGGCTTGGTAATCAAGTTGTGGCAGTCGCAATGATGCTGAGTTGTCGTTTGTTTCGCATGCAGCCATTCTATTCTTCTCCAGCTGTGACACACAACACCAGCCATTTTCTACTGCTCTCACTTATTCACCCCGTGGTAAGCAAACAGGGCTCATGTCAACCTCATATATTTGTGTTATGTTTAGTGACCAGAAATAAACCCACTAGTGAATGGGTTATCCAATTATGACAACTAGTCGGGAACTATCGAAAATTAAGCTCTGTGATCGACTATACAACATTATTTACTAGTAGTAAGTCCTCCAAGTATTTATGCCCGGACAGAGTCGCCTCATTTGATCAAGTTAGAATGTGAGAATTCGTTAGAGGAGGAGATCGAGAGAGCCGTAACGAATTACCAGTACATGATGGAATAGGGAGATGTTTGTGGGATGATGGTAAGTGGTTTTGCCCTACAACTAGTTGTCGATGTCGTATGACATTATGTATTATGTGTTTTTCAGTTTATTGCATGATCTTGTTTGCAAAATGTATTAAAATTTGGGAGGAAAAGGAACATGCTTGAAAATGGCCAACCTGCAAAATAGGACCATTTAGATACCCATGGGCCATGGGAACCCTAATAATACAAGGTTGCCCTGCCCTCCACCACCACCCCTTTTGCCTATAAAGGAAATATATTAGGGTCTCCCCAAGCCCAAGGGCCATCAATTGATTCTAATATTTATCTTATATTGATTCTAATATATAGTATTGACTTTAATAGGTTTGTTAATGTGTATGGGCAAGGCAATGGCTTCTTGATCATTTCATGTGAATCCTACAAAGCATAAGTAGATGTCATACACTACTTAGGCCGGGTCGATGATTTTCCCCTTTTTTTTTTTGGTTTGGATCACCTGTAAAGATTAAAAGTTTCATTCCTAAGCTAAAATAAGGCGTAAAAGAAATCTTATCCATTGTTAATATCGATGAATATGTAAACGATTGATCCCTCTTTAATCTTATTGGTCTCCTACGTCTACTTCACCTTCAAGCAGAGTCGAAGCTTCGAGCTATATAAGTGAATTTCATGACACCCTCTTGTCACGTTAGATCGGCGACACTCCAAAAATGATATATTAGTATGTTGCATATGCACAAGATGTGAAAACCATTAGCAAGTTCCATTATTTATGTGTATAACAATGTTATCTTTTGTTATCGATAATACGTTCTAGTTTTTATAGAAATAAAAACCAAAACACAATACTCATATGGATTCGGGAAAACATATTAATTTGGAAATAGTGTGTTATGCAATCAGTTGATTTCTCAATAATATTTCTATCTCAGATGAATATACATTATTTCTCAATCCTGCACCTAGCACAGCCAAAACACAATCAATTAAGTAATATACTACTGTGTACAATGTGTGTATGTATATAATTCATTTGGCCTTTCACCCTTTAATTTGGCACCATCTGTAATTGTATTACCCACCCACCTTGGATTCCAACTAACCCCATTTTTCCCCAAACCCTTTTGTCTCCACCCCAAAATCAAATTAAATCATTAGGAAATAATAAAATATATTCATAATAAAATCAGACAGACAACTGCAGCAGAACAGAAGACCCAACCTCTGCTTTCTGAACTAACTGGCTCCCCCATCCTCAAATCCTCTTTTTTTTTTTTAAGAAAGAATTATAGAGAACATGCTTCTGTTCATAATATTGGTCTCTGCCAAACCGCATTTAACAAAAACCACAGTAATATTATCATTATTAATAATAATCCTCCCACTAATATATTCATTAATCAACTACTTAACCAAAAAGATTCTCCTTTCATCCCAAGAAGATTACCCTTTTTTACACACAGAGCAGCAACCTAATCCAATGGTGATCAGAAAATAATATCAATATAATAAAAAGATAAAAATTTGAAAATAAATAAATTCTATAGACCTTTCTTTCTTTATTCATTCATTACCCACCAACAAAAAAGCACAATGCAACATAAAAAATGGATCAACAGCAAGAAAAAATAAGAAAAGGAAGATTAAACTAACAATCTATACACATAACCCATATAAAAATTTATAATAATATGAAAACCATGAATATCTCCATTCTCCTCCCTCCATGCTTCCACCACCACCACCACAAACCACTCTCTCAAGAATCTATGCTCTTTCTTTCATCTCTATTCACAAACAAAAAAAACAATACTATTCTGAACCAAACCGACCCCAAACCGAATCGACTCAAGTAACCTGACTCGACTCATCCCAACAGAATCAAACACCAAATCCCACCTTCCCCACCACCACCACCCATCCACATTCATGAATGTACCCCAAGACACACATTCCATTATTCCATTCTGGCCAAAACATGCTTCATTTGTTCTGGGTGTTTTATTCTCACATAGAAATGGCCTCACCATTGACTGCTGCTGCTCGGTGCCTCCTCCGGTGCCTCCTCCCGTGGTGGCGGGGCCTGCCTCCACCGAACGTGACCGGATCGAACGATTTCAGGCGCTGAGCTTCTTGTGGATTGATCACGCATTCGGGCAGTGGGACCTTGTATCGAACACGATCGTAGCAGTAGGAGTACGTCATGTACTTGGTCCTGAACCTGTCCATCCTGGTCCTCTGCGAGCCTGAGATTGCTACGGTCTTCAATAGCGTGGTGTAGGTAGTGTCGCATGTCGTGGTAGAGTGTTCTGTGGGATCAGCGGCGCAGCCATGGAGGGCAAAGTCGGAGAACTCGGTAGTGTAAGGTGCGTAGTTGTAGTTCACCCTGTACTTCCCTCCGTTGGTGGCCCAGTCTGATCCATCCCATATCGTCGCGTACAGAGACATTGGCTTCGATGGGAAATCTCCACCCATCGTTGTGGTTCTCACCACTTCTCGAATCGGAACATCATCCACGTAGAATCTGCAGCGAGAGAGAAGCCTGTGTCATGAAAGGTGTACTTTCGAAGACTTGGCAAGGGGTGTACTAAGTACTAGCAGAACTTTCACTTTCAACATCCCCACATCACAAAAAATGCATACCATGTTCTGTGTGTTGGACTGTTTAAACAACAGCTTGCACAAAAGAGGATCTTGCGTGCAATCTAAACGTATAATTCAAAACGTGTAGACATGTAACTTTCCTATTCCTTTTCTCAGGAAACAAACACAAGACAATGAGCTAATCAGCCTACACAGACTTGCTACAAACAGGAAATTTACAGTTGAGCAATGTGTGTGCTAGTTTCTTTGACATAACAGGACTCATGTAAAAATGGTAAAAAGAAAACAACTTTTATCTCTTCTCCACCAGACAATCAACATCACAAAACAACGCAATGTTAAGAGATAACCATCATCATCATAATCAAGACCATCAGCGGAGAAATTGAACAATGGACAATAGGCAAGAGCTCTCACATGATAAGGGAATCAGTCCAGAGAATGGAGTATCGATGGAAGTCATCGGCCGGATCAAACCAAAGGCTATATCTCTCTTCTCTGCCAAGGGCTGTGCTTCCATTGCCATATATATTTGTTTGTATCCTCCAATCTTTACCCCTAATGTTCCCCAAGAACTCGAAGTCAATCTCATCATGGTTCTTCTCGTATGTATCGCCATTGGACATCTGTCATACACATAATCGGGCAAGGATTAGAATCCGTTATCCAAGTTTCCAAACCCCCTTTTCCGGTTTCTGTTAGCAAAAAAGAAATGCCAAAATTTTCGATCCAAAAGGTGGGTTTCAATCCTTGTCCGTTTCAGTTTCAATCAAAACCAAATCCCCCCCAAAAACCCTGCTGAATCGGTTATAATAAGAAGTCAATGGATAGAGAGAAGGGAGAAAAGGGTGCGATGAAGGAGGACACTCACATAGAAAGCAACCACAACTCCAGCAGTGTAATCTGCAGGGAGCTTAATGGAAGCACTGAAGTAGCCGTGTAAGTAAAGGTCCTGCGAAACGAATCCAGACCCTGCTCCAACCAACCACACAGACGAATAAAAGTAAACTTCAGTCAGACAATAACACAAACACGATAGCTGCAAAATGGAAAACAGAGCAAAAGAAGAAGAAGAAAAAAAGACCTGTTCTTTCATCAAGAGATAAGTGGACGGTATGCCCATCCCTGTGAACAACCAGATTGTCTTCCCCAAAAAGCTGGGTGTAGCCCTCATCAAAGGGGACAACAGGCAAGTTCCCATGGTGGAACCCAGATACACAAACCAGAAGCAGAGTCAGGAAAAGGCCACAATAACCCACTACAGACTTCCCCATTTTCTCACCTCCCCTGTTTTTTCAAATCAATCAATGGTATCTATACAAAGCTTCAAACTTTCAAACTAACCCAGAACAAATTTCAAAAAGAAAAGAAACCCAAAAAGTCTATCCCCTCCCTTCTCTGTAGTGCAACAAGAAATATGTATCTCTAGTGTATAAATATGGCTGAAGCAGAGAGAAGAAGAAGGAGCCAAAACTAGAAGGAAAAAAGAAAAGGCAGAGTGAGAGAGAGAAAGAGCCGTGTGCTGGAGGGGCAATGAAGGATGGCCAGAAAATTTTCTTTCTCTAGAGCTCTACAGAGAGAGAGAGCTGGGAGAGAGAAAACCAGAGCTCTACAAAAAGGCTAATGAGAAAGTGGAGAGGAGAGGAAGGAGTCCAGTTTTTAATGGGTAGAGAGAGAAAAAGGAGACTATGCCTATGAGGTTTATTTGGGGAAAATAAAATATAAATAAGGAAAAATATTGAAGAAAAAGAGAAGTGTGGTTGAGCTGTAAATGTCTATTGATTGATTTTGTGGAGCTCTGGGGACAGATTATTGATTTTCCGAGGTAAAACTTAAATAAATAAAAAATCCGGAATTGTGGATCCATTGGCGAAATTTTTCCAACCTCCCAGATTAATTAATTGTTATCCCTTTACGAGGTTATTATTTTTTTAGTAATGGGCTGAATTTTTTGACAAATATTATTATATTCCGATATTGCCCATGGAGACCGTTTGTTCACCCACGCTGGGGGGTTTCCTTGTGCAGAGCAGAACCCAGATTTGTTCTTCCTTTATTTATTGCCTCTCTTTAAGATTGAAAATTCGTATCGAAAAAGGTTATATTTAAGATTAAATCGATAAGGTATCTAGCGACATAACAAAAAGGAAGAAAAAGATTAAAAGATGAGTTATTTGAAATAATTATCCTTTAGTGTGTTATTATGTCAATGAACTCAATGTGAGTTTTTTCAATTAATTCACAGTCAAATTACCACACTTGATTTATTTGGATCGAAATTTTCACAGTCGTGTAGATTATATTTTAATAGAATGAAGTTTCAAATATTTTTTTTATTCCAAATATTTGAAACTTCAATTAAATTGAATCGCATATACAATTTCAAATGCATAAAATTTGACAATGAAAAAAATTAGATATTTGTTCAACTCTACCAAACATGCGCACATTTTTATTTAACATGTGTTTGGTAGATATTGCTATCGCAAAACACTATGGATTTAAATGCTAACAAACTTCGGTTTTGTAGTAATCTTCATTCTTCAGAATAGATCTTCGAGAGAGAGAAAATAACTGAAAATATGCATAAAACAAGGTCAGAGAAAATATGCATAGAAAAGTATTGAAGCTGTAATAAGTAAGAACATAACTATTCTCCCCAAAATACTGAATAATCAGAAAGTATATAGGGCATATTTCATTGAAAATTGGAAAGTTCGGTATTTCATTGAATTAGTATTTCCGTTTTATAAGTAGGAAAGGAAGTCGCATAAAATTTTACTCAAAAAATATCTTTGCCGTTCACAGTTTGGTTCTAGTCACTATGTGGTCAAACCATCCCGATCCATATCGGTTTTTAGCAAGGCACGAAATACATCGTAAAATATTCATTATGATTCCACTCATTAAACGCAAAATTTTGTAGTACCGACAAGCTGTGAGGGTGCAAAATGGTATAATTATGAGTCCAAATTGTACAATGAGTGGTAATCATGCTCCAAAAGACTTATAATATCGATGGACTTATGTATCATTGATTCGTTTAGTCATTTAAACGCTCTTACAAATGCAACGTGTTTGAGTGTTTCTCATTCTGTCGCTAATATTCTCTGGAGTAGGTAATATGACGATGATCAACGTGAATGATTCCGCTCCCGTTTTAAAAATTGTCATTCTAACAAATACACTTTATAAACATAGCTTCTTTGCTTGAATGTCTATGTGGTTGAATCCATAAATAATACTCTGAATACAATGGTTATTCATAAACTATTGATAAAATAATACCCCAATTTTGCCGAAGGAAAACGGTGGGCAGCTCGGCCGCGCTCGAAACCCGTCCGCCGCATCTCCCCGTGACCATGATCGGACGACGATGGGTCCCGCCGCCGCGTATGTGTGTGTTTTTTTCGGTTACGGGCCCTCCATCGCCCACGTGGCAAACCGTGTCTATTAGCTAGGCGCCGAAATACAGTGAGTGGACCCACGCGATTCTCGTTGAATTCATGTCTACTCCAGTCCTTTGCGCCCGCCCGCCCTTTCTTTCTATTTTTTTTTTACGATTAAAAGATCGTATCACACCTATGGGAGGAATTTTATAATGCTGTATAGTATTGGTGCTGTAAGTTTTTTCATTATGGTACAACTTGAAATTATACCTTTAACGTTATAGTACAACTTCAGCTTGTACCTATACTTTTTGTACAAATTTTTTTATGGTACAACTTTACAACTTGAAGTTGTATCATCACATAATGATACAAATTCCTTTATGGTACAACCTAAACTTATACATTTAATGTTATGGTACAACTTAAAGTTATACATTAAAGCACCAATGCTATATAGCATAGTAGAAGTGCTCAACCTAAGGGTGCAAACGAGCTGAGTTGAGTGGAGTTTTTGCTTAGTTTGACCTCGATTCGTTTATAAATTTTTCAGCTCGAGCCGAATTTGGATAATCAAGCTCGAGCTCGGCTCGATCAAAAATAATTCAGCTCGAGCTCGACTCGATAGAGCTCGGTAAATGCTCATTAAAACAGCTTGTCAAGCTGAGTACAAGCTCGACTCAAGATAAGCTCGATTTGAAATCATTCTTGTTGATAAATGCATACACATTAGAATTTAAATAATAAAAAGAACACTAGAAACTAAAAATAACAGCTAGCTTCCATACACATTCATATCAACAAGATAATGTTCATGTTAAGAAGAGTAATTAATCATTCCACAAGCTCTACAAAAGCCAGCTCGCGAGCTTAGCTCAACAAGCCACCGAGTCAAGCTAGCTCACGAGCTTATCAAGCCGAGCATGGTCTAGCTCAAGCTTGGCTCGTTTACTAACGAGTCGAGCATCAAATGAATTTTTTTCCGATTCGAACGCCGAGTTGCTCGCGAGCGATTTGGCTCATTTGCAGTGCTAACCACACCTGATGGTTCGCCAGTAAGCCTTCTTACCGAAAGCAAAACTAATAGGCGATATGAAATTATTGAACTTACAATATTTTATCGCTAACTTTTTTTACACTACTTATGGTACGTTATTTCAATCCTTGTTTTTTTTTTCATATTCTTGTATAATTAGACTCACCACAATGTGGTGTGGTTTAGGGGAAAAAGAGGAGAAATAGCCCACAATGTGGGTGGGAAAGAGGGAAAAAGTGGAAAAAGGGGAAATTTCGGGTGGGAAACCCCGCTAGAAGAATACAAAAGGTGGGGGAAATGAGAAGGGGTGGGGCCCACGTCAGTTTGTTTTTATTTTATTTATTATTATTAGTTTAATTGTTTAGTGTTTATTTTTAGGGTTTAGTGTTTATTTGTTTGCTTTTATTTCTTCTTAATTATGTTTATATTCAACTATCAATGTAACAACTTTTTTTTTGTGTGAATGTAACAACTTTTTTATATAAATTATTGCGATTTCGTCATTAATGACATTGATTAGTGATGGAAAATTGATTTTAAAAAAAAGTGTTCAATCAATTATCCTTTTTTCTCACATCAACATTGTGACCAAACCCTCTCATTTTCCCTATTTTCCCACCTTTCTCAACCTCCCACATTGTGGTTGGTCTTATCACTGCCCATATTACTACCATGCTCTTCGCTTAAAATTTACAACAATGACACCACGAGGCTCATGTGAATCCGCGGCTTTTGAGGGCAAAGTTGGCAAGCTGACGAAAATGTTGTGCATTTTCCCAATGGAAAATGGGGCG